TAATAACCTATAGAATATTATTAAGAATTTTAATAATTCAATTATTAATTGAATTTTAATTAATTATGTACTAATTTTAATTGATTTTAATAGATTTTTTGATAGGCCTGTTTATAAATTATATAATCAATAATTTTTTAAATTGAAGTTTTATTAATTTTTTTATTTTATTATTAGTATATTTATTTAATATATTAATAAAAATAAAGAAAATGCATAATAATTCATTTTATCAAATAAATAAATATATATATATATCTTTATAATTTTATTATATTAAAAATTTTATTAAAATATTTTAAAGTTTTTATCAAATTAATTTACACAATAATTATTAATAAAACAGTAATAATTTTTTAAAAAAATATCTTTAAATTTATAAAGTAAATAATATGTTATGCAAATATTGAATCAATCAATTTTTTTTTAAAGAAAAAAATCCTTTGAATTCAAATTTGCAATAATTTAAAAAATTAAAATATGTTTAATATAATTTTTATAAATTTATATTATACTTAAAAATTTCAATTTTGTAAATAAATTTATGCTGTGTATAAATTTATATTTGTATAGAAATATTTAATTGTTTGAAAAAACTTTTTTTCAACTTTAAATATATTTTTATTTTTTAAATTTCATTTTATTTATTTGCATTGATTATTTTTCTTATAATATTACTATTTTATTATTATTTTTTATTTTATTAATATTTTATTAATATTTTTTATTTTTATTACTATTTTATTGCTATTTTTAATTTTTATTAATATTTTATTACTATTTTTTATTTTTATTACTATTTTATTGCTATTTTTTATTTATTTTTTTTTATTATCCTTCATATTTGCCTTGGATAATTATAATATAGAAATTATCGAACATTTCACACTGAAAGAAAAATTTTTTCTTTGTACTTTTAAGATTTTGCTGCATTATAAAAGGTAAGAAAAGTTTTGTTTATTTTATTTACCGCATTTATTTATTTATTTATTTATTTAATAGATTTATGATAAATCTTGGAAAAACCAAGATCTTATTGATGGTGACTTCTTGCCATATCGAGTAAAACTTCAACTAGACAAATCCTGTATCATTCTACAGTACAGCATAAACAATCGCGTGCACATCGGAGAATAGTAATTTATATGAGCGATTTTTGCACCATCCAATATTTGTTTTGTTTGATTACGATATTTGCATCACGTTTTCCGGTTTTTTTTTTTTTTATGACAATCGTGGTTAAGAAAAGCTTGATGTAGTGCGACATTGACGAACGGTTATTTTAATATTACATACATATTTGTGTTAATTTGTATCTCGTGTTTTGCGTGCATGAGTGAGTGTTGTCAAAAGCGCGGGATAATTAAAATACCTATACCGTACTGTACATTCGTGCTCAAGTTCCTGTTTCTGAATTGCATACACATCTCGCATAACTTTTAAAAAAATAGATTTATCTTATTCAGAATCTTTGCCGCTTTCGTAATAAGTTAAGCTTCGATATAAGGCAACACCGTAACGTTGATGTGTCAAATTTAAAATGCATAGATCGAATTGACTTTCATTGATACACCGACTCACCGATTCGTCGTCTTCATATCCAATATTTCCCAAAAGAAAGGTACTGTTACGTTATAAGAATATTGCAATGCACACATGTGTTTATTCTCACTATTGTAAGACGTTTCTCGTCACTACAAACTTGTAGGTACCTCGATAGATCGACTTTTCTCAATAATTTTATATTACGTATTATGTAATAATCAATCTTAACCCTCATACTGTACTTGTGTACGTAAATACGTACGTACGTACTTGTTGAAGTGAGGTTTTTGTTTGATTATACGTACATATCCGTATATGATAAGTGTAACGTATTGCGATGTAGAATTAAAGATAATTATTAATACTGTATGTGTAGTAATAAAATCGCTCAATAAAATAACCGTACCGTTAAAGTGATCGTTTTCGACACCCAAGTGGCAATCATAAAAATCAGTTATACCCACTGCATTCAGTATTTTTGTCGATTGTCTTTTTTATTCTTTTTTTTCAATCACTCTAGTATCAACAAAAAAATGACACCCCAACCCATGAATTTTACGTCAGATGATAAAGTGGAGGTTGACGTAAATAATTTATTGATTATCTCGTCATATTGCATATCGGTTCTGGGAATAATGACTACGATAGAGTTGTTGGGAAGACGAAATTCCAAACACAATAGAATGGACTACTTTAAATTGATGGGTGGGGCTTTTTGTCTTGGATTTGTCGGAATATGGTCCGCGCATTTTATAGGTGGGGGCGCTAGATCGAAATAAATCCAATCCCTTGTTAATCGTTCATCCAAGTTATAAACACAATTCACCGTATTCATTCATAATAGGCATGAAAGCATTAAGTTTCCGAGTTCATATAAGACCACAATCGATAGCATACAATCCTTGGTAAAAAAACTATTTTAGGCATTCTTTTGCATGCATGCGCATTCTGTCGCTCACACAAGTCATAAATGCCGTAGGTTCACTCTATCCTCATTGATTATCGCGGTAGCGACTTCTAACCTAGCGTTCTTCTTGGTTCGAAGGAAAAATGATAACAAAAGGATTTTCTTTGGTGGCATCTTATCTGGTTCTGGTCTCGGTAAAGGATTTTTTTATATGTGGTCATCAACTTCCACTTTGACAGTTCCTCCGTCGTTCTCACCATTACGCTTTCCTTTTCTCTTTTAGCGTTCATGCACTACATTAGTCAATTTGCCGTATCCACTTGCATTATTCGATATGATCCCCTCTATGTTGGGCTCAGTGTCCTCGTCTCCATAGCGGTTAATATCATCGATTTGTACATTTTCTTTAGATTGCGCAGATGGCAATATCGTTGGTATAAAAAACTATTCTGTGCCATGATTGTGGGATTGAATTTGTGCGGAGTGTACATTGTCGCTTACCGAGGAACCAGTTATTCTAACTTTTCAATTCATGAAGTCGAGAAATCAAATGAGGAATTGTTGGTCGGAGGTGAATTTATTGCCACATTCTTGGTAATGTTGTTTTTAAAAGTTCGTTTCAACTTACCTCGGTTTTTATCTAGCAATCGGCGCTGGATCGATCTTCACATGTACCTTCTTACTGGCCGTGGTTACGATAGTCAGAAGTAAAGAGTTAAACCGTAAAGTATACGCTCAAAAGGTCGCATTAGGTGCAGTCATTTATGATGAGAATGGAAGGATACTGGTCACAAAGGACGGTCACTTGCCGTATGAAAAAATTTCCAATGAATTTTCTCAGGTGATTTAAACTTTCTCGATTCAAGCAATTGGATACCTTGCTCTTCGCCTTATTTACTTCGCGAATCTTAATAGGGCCTGGAAACTGAATTCACTTCTCAACATCCAGTATTCCAATGGATCTATCGCCTTACGTACGATTGGGGTAGCATTAAGAAATGGTATGCGGCTGTGGTTTCTGATCATTTCGCAATTTAGGCCGTGCTCAACTCTTAATGTTTTTTATCGTTGTCGTTACGCCTACATAAAAGGCTTCCATATATCGAAGCTCATATGAAAAAAAACCCTAAATCGCGTATAGGGGCTGGTAATTATCTTTCGGATACATATGCCGTACAATTCATAGAAATGTTTATCCACAGCGCTAAACTACTGGCCGAATCCTTGAACACTCCACTCGACGAAGCAGGAATTCTGTTTGATCATGTATTGGTCACAGGGAGTTATTCTGAGCAGACTTATGATTCAAGAAAAAAAAGAAATACAAAATTCGGGAACAAAATGGAGCACGAGTTGGGTAAAAACACCAGAATTAATAGTAATGCTGATGAGTCCAATGAAAGTATTGATATCAAGGAAGATGTTTATCAGATATCGAATGACAATAACCAGTCGACACCACTCCCTTCAAAATTCGGGAAAGGGCAAATGATATTCCTCGTGAAACAAATAAATTCTGGGACCAGTAACCCTAATTCGAGATTTGATCGCACGCCAATTCAAATTCAGAATCGAGTGGAGTCCACATCCAGTTCAAGCTCACATCATCCAAATTTCAAAGAAATCGAAAAATATAAAAAGTTAGGATGCGAATTTGTTTCTCCGCAATCAATTGCCCCAACGATGGCCGAACAGATTGGCATTACCTCAGCGCAGATGAAAATTTATTTTGAAAAAATGTTTCATTATTCGAAGAACGGTTTGTCCCGAATAATGGAGGAAAATTGCGTGTATACTGGGTTATTTGTCACCAGGAATGAGAATCGAGATAATGGAGTAACGAGTAAGGGTGGTGGTGGTGACAATAAATTTAGAAGCAGTGGCTTTAGCAGTTTCAGTAGTGCGGACAATACGAGGATCTCGGTATTATCTCGAAAAGGTGACCGCATTTTACCGGAAGAAGAACAGATTATGGTGATGGATCACTTTCGGCATCAAATACCGATCTCAAAATTACCCTCGGTAAAAAACATTGGTAACATAGAGAAGGAATATATCAAACGTAAATCCGGAATCACGGTAACTGAATTTATGCAGCAGCTTGGCCATTCATTTTTTGGTACCGCCACAAAAATTGATGATGATGACCTTATGGAAAATCAAAGAAAAAAAAATACCCGGGAAACTAGACACGAAAACAAAGGGAAAAGATTATTATCAAGGATTTCTATCAATAAGATTATACAAAGCCCATCGCGAAAACGTTCTGTCCCTGATGAATTGCACAGCGACAATTCATTACCATCGTCTCCAAGCTCCCTCGAAACACCTTATGAAGCTGATGAGCAAGAGTTGCCAAACTATGACGATAACATCCTTCCAGTTGACGATTACGCAAGTGATAGTCTGTATGAATTTCGGCATGGCCTGGATCAATCTTTGCACCGATTGACCAATATCATTAACGAGGATCAATTGTATACGGATGCTAGACTGGTCCCAATCATCTTTGAAGTCCCCATTAATAGTGGTGATGTTAACTTGGTCTCTGATGAAATTTCTCAGAATGTCTCTGCGCCTTCGTCTACCATAATATCATCTATATCACTGGTTGGAAGCACCTCCTCGATTGTGCCTTCACCGTTAACCTTGGCATTGCCGACTTCACATCGAACTAAAAAGTCCGCGAAATTAATTATATTTCATCTGAAGCTTCCCCAGGACGTCAAGCCAAAATTGACTAGGGGCGAGGTGTGCTTCATTCCATTTGGTATGTTCGAGATTTATCAAAACGTCTTGTATTATAACAATGAGCAAGAGATGAAGAATTGGAGGAGAACGGTTGACAATGAAATCGGTAAAATAGTGAGGAAAAAGGAAAGTACAATGAAGCGAGGTAGGGTTTTTATGCATAGGAGTCGGAAGACTGAAGATGAGAATGTAATTGAGATGATGACTATGGGTGGAAATCGCCTCGTGACAGTAAACGAAGAGCATAGCGACAATGAGAGTGCGGATGTAAAGGTCCACGAAGAAAAGCGTTGGTATCATGTTATTATTGAGGGATCATATAACAATATGAGTGATGGAAGTCGAAATAATGATGGCGAGAGTGAGAATGGTTGATGCAATAGAATTAATAGAAAGACATTTTAAAAAAACATTCAAAAATCACGTCTCATATAATATTGCTTACAGTATTTATTAATCAAAAAATTTTTCTTTGAATGCTGTAAATATCCTTTTCACTCATGATCCACTGTGTGGGTCTTGGGGACATAGTAAATCGATTCACTATTACAGTATATATATTATAGATTGTCAAATAAAATTAACATTTTGAAAGAATTTAAGAATTAAAAAGGATGGCTTGAGTATCGAAATACTTATTAATGCTCACTGTTTTTTTTTTTTTATCATAAATAAATAAATTTTATAAATATTTTTTTGGAAAATATGCTTTTTCCTTTTATTTAATAACTGTATTATTATTATTATTGTACTACAAAACTTGTTTTTTTTTTACTTATAATCAGAAATTTTACTTTGGCTTTTTTCATTTTCAAACAAGGTCAATTGAACCATCTATTAATATTTTTTATTTTTCTTTCGAGTGTGATCAATGGCAATATAGTATACATTTTTTAAGAAGATAAACATCACATTATTGTTATTTGATTACCAGTTATTTTTTAAGTATTTATTATTTTTTTTTTATTAAACAAAATTTTAAAAATAATTTTTTTTTAAACAAAAATGAAAAATAATTAATTGCTACATATATTTTTTTAATTTTTTTTTAAATATCATAAATAACAATTATAAAATAAAAAAATATTATTATATCATTGTGATATTTATTTCAATAATTAAAATAATATATTATTTCATAAAAAATTTTTTTAAAAATTCCAAACTAATATTTTCAAAAAAAAATTGCTTTTTTGATGATTTTAATATAAAAAAATCAAACTTTTTTTTTGTTTTTTTTTTTATATTTATTTCTTTTAAAACATAATTTTTTTTAAATATAAAAATATCAAATAATAATTATGTACAGTATATATAGTATATAGTATATATATTGTGATGAATTCTTAAATAATAAAAAACAAATATTAATAAATTTTATTCTTTAAAAATTCTATATAACAAAAAATACTTTTTTAAAAATTATTTTTTGATTTTATTATAAATCATTTAAATCATATCATAAAATATCTGAATTTTTTATATAAAAATTTTTTTAATCAAAATCAAAATCAAATTGTTTTTTTCAGTTAATTATTACTTTAACTAATTAAATTTTTTATAATTAAAAATATATATACAATATATTCTTTAATTAAATATATAGAATATAATTAAGAATATAATAAATTATATAGTATAAGTCAAAATTTTTAAGTCTTGATAGTTCTTTAATTATATAAAAAAAGATATATGACAGTCCTTCTTTTTAACTTTATTTTTATGTATCTCCTTTTTAAAAACTATCAATACTAGTTTCATGTTATAATGTTAGAAATCGATTTAATATATTGAATAGATATAATAGAAACAATCTATTTGTTTGGGTTTTATTTTTTAAATCAATATTTTATTATCCATATTATTTCAAAATTGACTTGGTAAAATATGCAATTTGTAATTATTTTAATAAAAAAAAAAAAAAAGAATTTTTTTTATAAAGTGATTATCAAAACAATAATGACGCATTCGGAATTAATGAACAATTACGTAATTTATTCAATTATAGTAACGTTGTAACATTGGCACAGTTTTCATTTAAAATGCTGAAGTTCACAAAAGTACTACTGTACAATCTAATCGAAGATGATTAAAAAATTCCTTGATCGCATGTCCCAAGACTTTACGGGACTTTTAAACGAAGAACGTAACTGTGATGTTGTTATCAACGTAGGGAAATCCAAGAAAAAATCTTTTAAAGCTCACTCCATTATATTGTGTTGTCGGTCAGCTTATTTCCGCAAGGAATTGGAAAAGGCACCCGAAAATGGAAACATACTTATCACAAAAACAAATCTTACCGCTGAAACATTTTCTATTATCCTTAAGTATGTGATCTTTTAGGTATAAGTTTTAAATATTAAAAACATTTGTTTACAATCTATTATTCTTGTAGGTATATTTACGGCGGATCTGTAGAATTGGGGGATAACATTGATGCTTCAACCGTTTTTAAATTAATGATCGAGTCAAATGAGCTCGAGCTTGATGAATTAACCTCTTATATAGAAACGTACATGGTTAAAAACAAGGCTCATTGGCTACGTACTCATTTCTCAAATGTCTATGACGTTATTTGCAAGACCGGTGGTTTCAAGCATATCGAAAAATTTTATAACGATATTATCGCGAAACATCCAAGTGTCATTTTTGACTCTAATGATTTTAACTCTCTTAACGAAGCAACGCTAATCTCTCTTATCCAACGAGATGATATGCAGATAGATGAATTCAAAATTTGGGAAAAAGTAATTCAATGGGGAGTTGCAAAGAATAACAATTTTCCTGCGAATCTTGAAGATTGGTCTAATGAAGATTGGGCAACGTTAAAAATAACTTTACAACATTGCTTACCTCATATTCGTTACTTTCAATTTTCTGAGGTTGAATTTCTCGACAAATTAAAGCCTTACAAGGAAATTCTTGACAAGCAACTTGTAGATGATTTAGTACAGCATTTTTTAGCCCCCGATAGACCTATAAAGTCGACCATTTTACCTGCCAGAGTAGTGGCAACTGTGGAATTACCTCCAAGATCGCTTCCCATAATACCGCAGCCATCCCAAGTGCCACCTCAAGTTCCATTTTCATTGCAACTAGGTAAATGGAAACCAGGTCAATTTCTACCAGATCAATTGCAACTAGGTCAAGTTCCGCCTAACTGCAGACATAAACGACCTACTGCAAAAAAAATAACAACCCGACATAAAGGGAAAGGATCCATGCGATATTTCTGAAGGTCGTGGCGCATATGATATACTGGCAATTTTCTTTGAAGGCAACAAAAGGTTAAATATAATTTTCGTTCATATTCTTAAATAGTATGCAAATTATGAGATCACGATTAGAGTCCAAAAAATTGTTGCTCCCGCCTTTGAAAATACTGTAATTACACGTATTTGATATTATCAATAAATTGTTTGTATTTAAAGCAGCATGATTTCAAATATAAATTTAAGCCTACCTTTTAATGAAATAATAACACGTGTCTTGACAAAAAATCAATATATGTGGTATAGGATATAGCTTAATTAATTTTACTTGGTGCCTATATTATTTTATGTATATTGTTGTAATAAATATGATTTTTTTTTTGGTAGGAATTAAATGTGAGGCTTCTGTTAAACTTTTGTTATTCACCATTGTATTAAAAATCTTTACAAAAAGCAAATTAATCCTAGCTTATCAAAATTAAAAATGAAATATACAAATTCTAAAATTCTTGTAAAAAAAAAAATACAGTAACAGTTAAGATTCTAAACTTATATCAAAATGATATTAACTTATAATAAATTTAATATATAAATTATAATCTAATATATTAAACTCATAATAAATTCAATATTAACTTAGAATTAAAAGTATATCATTAAAAACTCAAATAATAGTTAACTACTAGTTATATTACAAACCAGTATATATATTTATTAGAAAAATGATATTAATTGTAATATATAATTAAGAATGTTTGATTTTATATGTATTAAATTTGATAATTTGCAAATATAATATAATTAAAATATTAATATTAATATGGTACAATTTTCTTATATTAATTTTTTAAAAGAAATAGGCTAATTGCAATTTTATTTTTTTAAAATTTAAAAACTAAATAAGACAAGTAATGGTTTTTTGAATATTTTTTAAATCAAAAATAATAATATTATTAAATATTTATAGTTAAACTATTTATACATTTATGTATTTTTAATTATTAATTAACAGTTTAAAACTTTAATAGAATGGATTTTTATAAAATTAATATTGCTATTAAATTTTTACTTTTAATTTTTCCTTATATATTTTAATAATTTAATATATAATATTATAATAAATTCCATATACAGTATATTATATATTTTGATTATTTGTTATATAAATAACAATATTTTTATTTATAATTTAAATTATCAAAAATTTAAAAATAAATTATTTAAAATATTAAATTAATTTATAATTGTTTTTATTTATTATTTATTAATATTTGTTAAAATAAATATTTGATATAAAAATAAATCCTTTTAAAATTTTTTTTAATTTTAATTATTATATTTTATAATTTTATAAAAAAAAATAATTTTAAAGTTTTAAATAATATATAAAAATAAAACTCTTTCCCAAAAATTTTGTATCGCTTAAAAATTTTCTTTTTTAGTAACTGACAAAATTCTAAGGAGAAGCAAAACAACAGGCGCTCCTGGGAGCTCCTCT